CCCGCCCGCGCCGCCCTCCCCAGAGCCCCTGCTCCTCCCGACAGCTTTGCTGACGGTCTGGTTTCTGCGCTCGGGCAGCTGTTCAGAAACCTGATGCATTGCATTTGGACTTGTTTTTCTGCAGTGGGAGCAAATGCCAGAGGTGACACCCTAAAACACCCAAGGGAGGGTTCCATTCCACTCCTGAAATAAGAGTGGCTGATCCGACGAGGAAAACAGCAGCCAGGACGCCCGCGCCACCGGGAAGAGTTCTCCGCCCTCCGGGGTTCGCGGGGTCGGGGAGCACGACAGGCTGCAAGAGGAGAGCGTCTGCACCCCTGCAGCGAGGGCCCTGCCCCCAGGAACGACGGTGCACCTGCGCGCCTGCTACTTGCCCACCGGAGATTTTGCACCCACCTATAGGCCAGGCGAGCGAACCGGGTGGCATTCTTCCACTGTCCCTCTAGGCCTACAAACACGCTATTGGTTTCAGCTCTGGGGAGCAGTGGCAGGGGTCCGCACAAGCGGGGGCACATCTTCAATCTCTCGCCCTAGGTAACATCTGACCAGAAGCATCTCAGGACACGAGGCGGTTGACGTCTGGGAGGCCCCAGCTGAGCATTCGCAGACGGGGTGCTTTCCCTGCCTGTGTATCAATAACCCCTTGGGCGTCCAGAGCAAAGACAACGTTCTCCTTCACATGCTGACCCAGATAGGCAGAAGGCAAACGGAAGTTAACTTAATCCCCCTCTCCTTGGCTATCTAAGTGCAAACTGGGAGTGCGGGGGACAAGGACGAATTCACACGTACTTTTCTTCTTCTTTTAAGGGCCAGCTAGAATTCCTTGCAGCATTTACAGCCCCAGGTAAATTAGGGTAGAGTCCTCATGGGAGGTAAAATTGCTTCACTACAAAACCGCTTATAAGCAACCCAACTGCAACTGTATTCCAACATTTTACTGGTTCAGAGTTTACTGGTTTAGACATCCTCCCCACTCTTTCCCTAGTTCTTGCTAATGGCACCATCTTCACCCCAAATGCTGCCCTCCCGGGCTTCACCAACTCCCCTGTCCCCAACCGGGATATAAACGAAATCCTTCAGAAAAGGCTGCCAAGAATGTAAACATTCCTCTAATACAATATCTTTACAGCCAGAACAACTCCAAGTACTAGGGCATACAGATGATTTCTCCTCCATTCTGAGTCATGGTCCTAGACCCTATTAAAGCTAGAAGGAAGCTTCTAGACAATGTAGTCAACACCCCTTGCTTTATGGGAAGGAGGAAAGGGAGGTTTAGAGATTAGAGAGGTTGAGGAATCAGGTCAAAGATCAAGAAAGAAAACCAATCAGAAAAGGGTTTGGTTTTTCAGGGGACTCTTCACAGGCCCACCCTAATTCCAGAGTGCTGAGTGGAATCCTAACAAGGAGAAGATTCAGACTATCACCCAGAACATGAGCTGTTTGGAAGGAAAGAGTAAAGAAAGATTTTCCTTGTGTAGAATTAGCCCTTAGCAGGGCCATTATTTAAACTGATACTAACATTTATATAGAACCTACCAAGTGACTGGAGAGGTGCTTATGGAGGTGAATTCACTGCGCTAGGCTGGCCTTAGAGAAAGGACTGAGGAGGTGGTTGTTCTCTATGACCTTCTCTGTTCCCACTCTTGTTCTGGCCAAGGGCATCTAGCCCTTGTAACAGCAACAAGCAACCCCAATTACATGACCCTGTGCCAATGAGCGAGACTTAAACGTTCACGCATTGAAACCATGCTGGTAGCTGCCTCCTCCCCAGGGAGAGAATGAGCAGGTAACAAGTTAATTAGACACAAAGTGTCATTATTTGCTCCTGTGAAATAGCCCACCTCTGAGAGAGTGAAATGAGACACAGAGTAAAACACAGTACCCACCCATCCAAAGACAGGGGGCAGGGGGGGATATTTTTAATAAAATATTTGTAATTCGTACATGGGTGGGAACAGACACTGACACTATCTACACAATGTCACATCAGGGGTTCAAAAAGCCGGTTCACAATGTGCATAGGGATGTTTATAGCAGCGTTATTCGTAATTGTCAAAACCTCAAAGCAGCAAAGATGTCCTTCAGCAGCTGAATGTATGAATAAACTGTGGACCATCCAATGGAACAAGAGTCAGTACTGAGAAGAAATGAGCTGTCAAGCCATGAGAAGACACGGAGGAAACTTGAATGCATACTACTAAGTGACAGAAGCCGATCTGAAAAGGCTACATACTGTATGATTCCAGCTATATGACATTCTGGAAAAGGCAAAACTAGGGAGACAGCGAAAAGATCAGTGGTTGCCAGGGATTAGGGGGAGGAAGGAATGAACAGGTGGAGCACAGAGGATTTTTAGGACAGTGAAAGCACTCTGTATGGTATTAGAATGGTGGATACATGTCATTGTACATTTGTCAAAGACCATAGAACGTACGACACCAAGAGTGACTCCTAATGTAAACTGTAGACTCTGGGTGATCACAATGTGTCAATGCAGATTCACCAGTTGTAACAAATGTCCCACTCTGGTGGGGGATGTGGACAGTGGGGGAAGATGTGCATGAGTGGGGGGAGAGGAGATATGGGAACTCGCTGTACTTCTCCCACA